TTTTGGTGGACTCTGGGCCATCTCCCCAGCCCCTAAAATATCTTAAAATATTGTTTTTCCCTTGTTAAGTAACACTCTTTTTTTCTTCCTTTCCTTTAGAATACATGATATTCTTAGCAATCTAAGGCTCCTCAGAAGTCTCCAGAACCCATTGTCCAGTACTAAACCTTAATGATTTAGGACATAGCCTGGAATTTTTCTTTTAATTAATTTGGCTATTCTGATCTCTTTTCGTGTTATTAGACTACTTGAGTTCAATTAGTGTTCACTATTTGCGTTATTTAGTGAGTAGTATTATTTTAGATAAAATTAATTTGGGAGAAGCCAAATCTTATTTTTAATAATGGTTAAGGAAAAGCAAAGATATGGTTGGTAGAAAATTCCAACTTAGGAGTTTTAAAATCATGTTTTGTTTTGTTTTTTTCTTTTGATGGAACCAGGGATTGAACTCAGGCCCTCGCACTTGCCAGAGAAGCACTTATTCTACTGAGCCATCTCCCCGGCCCCTAAAATCATGTATAATAGGTGTAACATGATTCCTTTTTTTTGTTTTTGAAATACCATTTTACCCACTGGTTTTCCTATAATAGAACAGTCCAAGAGATTAGAGGAGTTAAAATTTCATTAAAGAATGGTACAAAAGACTATTTTCATCTTATGGGATTTCTTTAAAATACTGTACTAGTTCTATATACTTTGGCATATATCAGAATCACCTGAAGGGTTTGTTAATAACGAACTGCTAAGACTGACCCCCAGTTTCTGATAGAAAGTGCTAGTCACACACCTAATTTGCATTTCTATAAGTTCCTAGGTGATGTTGGTGCTTCTGGTCCAGGAACCACAGTTTGTGAACCACAGCTTAGATTGAATAGGCAAGTGGATAAAAAGTGCTTAAGGTAAAAAGAGAGGAAAATTGAAACTCATGTCATTCTTACTTCTTTCATCTTCCAAATTCTAGAATATCTTTGTGTTTTATTTTCATGAGTACTTGAAGAGTTGAAATTTCTCTGAATTAGGTTTAGGCAAAAGAACCAGTAATGTAGATATCTTCTGTGACATAGCATTTAACTTTCAGATCTAATTCTCAGTTATTCATGAGTATCAAAGATCAAAATATAGATTACTAAAATCCTTACTCCACTTTATGAGAATAGGAATTTAGTAGCTTTCTTGCCTGATGTGGATTTGATTTCCTTTATATTCATTTACTATACAATGAATATATAAGGATAAAAGTTATTAAAAAGAGGAACAGATTATATATGAGCCACTCATGACTGTATGTATGGTTTTCTGTGTGAGATAGTTGTTACTGTGAAGTTTTAGTTGGCTTTTCTTTATAAATGGAAAGAGATCATGATAATTATATCTTTTTAATTATGTCAAAATTATGTATACACAAATAACTTCTCTTTTTCATTTCAGACAATGCTGATGTTGCTTTAGTAAATTTTTATGCTGACTGGTAAGTAATCGTACTGTTATTTTTTTGTTTGATTTAAAAATTTGATTTTGTTTTGTCTTAAACTTGCTAAAGGTGAATATTCCTGTGCTAGAAAGGGTGAATAGGGCAGCTCTTTTCCTGTTTCAAGACAGTATTCCATACACAAAATCAGTTAAGGCTCTAAAGCATATAAAACATGTTAATTTGCTGAGGTCTCCTTTTTTAAGGGAGGCATATAACTGATTTCATTATCCCACATTATAAAAGAGGTAACATAAAACTCAAATATGACAAAACAACAAAAGTAAATGTTGAAGTTCTGATTACTCTGACTGGAAAGAAGAACAGAGGTTGGAGGTCAAGATTTAAGTGTGGCAAATTTAGAGGGGAAAATAATCAGTCACCTTGTCCAGGAGGTATCCCCAAAGTGCTTGTTCTAGTGTCTTTTCTTCCAGGAACCCTTTTCTCCTTTGTCTGAATCATGTCCTGTCTTCTGTGTTAATATGGTATGTTCTGGACCACTTTGTTTTTCTTACTAAAATACTTCAGATCAGAAATTTTTCAGATGCTGGGTTGGTTTTTGGATTTTGAGATATGTGCTTAGTTTACCAGTACTATAACCCAAAATTGGAAATGTTCCAAAATTTGAAACTGTACATCATTTTTGGATTGGGTTTTCAAAATAGCGGTACTCAGCCTAATTGTACATTGTCTAGGGCTGACCAAATAGCTCAGTGGATTAAAGCACCTGCAAGCAGGCGCATAGGCCGCAGGTTCAATTCCCAGGCCAGCCATGCAGGCGCGCACCTGTAAACAGGCGGATCACCACGAGACTGGATCACTACAAGACCAATCTAGTAGTGAGACTCTGAGCACCCTGTAGACTTGTCCCTAAAATACAAAAAAAAAAAAAAAAAAAAAAAATCAGTTCGTGTCCTGCATTTTAATCTGATTTGCATAAAAGACATAAAGGACAGAAATAATGTTTTGTTGGTATTCCTAAAATGTAGAACAAAGGCATGATATGTAGTACATGTTAAAAACATGTTATAGAGATAGGAAAAAGGGAGATTTAGATTGAGAGAAGTTTGAAATATTGACATGATCTTTGTTTCTGGACAGTCTTTATCCTGTTAGACTCTTAAAGGCTTACTAGCTGCCACTATTTTACTTCATGCTAGTCCTGCAGTTTATCTAGATTCTAGCCATAATCTCCTCACTTATTTTCTGTGCCTCCTTTCTTTTTTTTTTTTTTTAATTTTAGGGAAGGGTCTACAGGGTGTTCAGGGTCTCACTACTAGATCATACTCCTAGTGATCCGCCTGTTTACAGCCTCCCAAGAGCTGGGATTACAGGCATGCACCACCACGCCCAGTCTCAATTGCTGTCTCAGCGCACCCCAGGGGCAGGTGCAGGCCTGGGATTGAACCCCCAGCCCCTGTGCCTGCTTGCAGGTGCTTTCATCTGCTGAGCTTTTTGGTCGGCCCAATGTACCTTCTTCCTTAATGTGCTTGCATTGTATTCTCTGTAAGCTAGAATTCTTTACAGTAGTGCCAATTAACACCCCATCTTATGTTCTTTGTTTTCCATTACCTTTAGGTTAAGCTTTTTAAGTTCCCTGCTTTGGCATAGAAGGCCTCTCATGATTTTGTCCCTTCCTGTTTTTATAAGTATCTTTTGGCTTCTTCTATGCCCATATTCTGGTTGCTATACAGAACTTCTTTTACTTCCTTTGAAACCCTCTGTTCTTTCATTGGTGGACTCATGGTACTTCCTCTACTGGAAATGTTATTTCCTAAGAACTTCTTATTCCCAGTCACTTCTTTACTTAGTGCTAATCTTCTTTCAAATCTTAAATTAGATGCCACTTTCCTCATGTCATCTTAATCGATACACCTGCCCCTACTCTCAAGACAGATTTGGAATGCCTTTTATAAAGTCTGGCTTTAGGTTTTTCGACTTCACCATGATGCAAAATTAGTACATATGCAATACAAATCGCATTTTGAATTTTGGTGTTTTCCTGGGCCAGTGATAGGCATCACTACATACTCTTGCAATAGTAGTTCCAATCATCCAATGAAAGTCAACACCCAGTACTTTACAGTGTGCTGTCTATCTGAGCTCTGATGTTTAGTAGATTAGGTATGTTAAACACATTTTGAGTCTAGGGTATTTTTAATTTGTGATCAGTTTTAAGACTTGGCTCTATTGTAAGTCAAGTAGTATCTCTGGTTCCCATGACACCCCAGTCTTACTCAATCAGAGCATCTGTATGTTAGAATCTAGTTGGTGATTCCCTATAATATTGTTTGCTTTGTGAACATACCCCAGTACTTTACATAATCCCTGACTGACAAGTACATAATAAGTATCTACTAAATGAATCTATACTATATATGGATGGTGTAAAGTACTTCAGTAAGTTGAAGATACACAAGAGAAAATGCTATTTATACAGTGTATAGCAAAGATAACTTACCTTTTCCAAGGTGAATTAGGATTGTCCTAATGTAAATCAGTCACAAAGTTGTGTAGGTTATATAGTCCATTCCATTTTTAAAATAAAACTGGGATCTATAGGACTATGGTACCTTCCAGAGGTTATCTGGTTAGATTATGGTAGAGATAAAATTAGACAGTACTGTTCTTTGCTAAGGAAGAGAGAAAGAAAAATTGAGCTACTGAGTTTTTCAAAAACTGAATTGGAAATGTGGACCAATTTCAGTTATTTTGGAAAGCGTCTTGAATAGTTAATGAGCTAGTGCTCCTTTATTCAGCTGAGAAAACTGAGGCAATCAGCTGTAGGATATAAACTCATTCACTGTGGTTTCAAAGGCTGGACTCTGGTTCTGTCACAGAAGTGCCTAAAAACTGTATGTCTCAGAGTAATATGCCATGGGAGGTGCTTAATAATACTCTTACTTGCCACTTTCTCTACACACATTGTTTTCAATGGTTAGAATTGCCCTCCAAGTAGGCATTACAAAAATTTCCATTACCAGTTGAAGAAATTGAGTCTGAGAAGTCATATGGCTAGTAAATGGTATAATTGGGATTTAAGCTCAGGTATGTCTAAATCCAAAGCTTACTTTTACTCCTACTAAGTCATATTAGTAAGCATCCCAGAGTGTCTCAAAAGACTTTTATCTATTAAGTTGATTTGTTAAGGATTGATATAAGCATTGGATTGGAGATTGGTTGCAGGTGACTCCAAAAGTTTCTATAATAGATCCATTAAAAGCCTCTTCAGTTCTACTATTCTTTTTTTTTTTTTTTTTTTTTTTAAAGATAAGGCCTTGGGGAACCACCTGCTCGGGCCTCCCTTCTGTCCCTCTCATGGACAGGAGCTTTCTTTCCCTCAATAAGTATATTCTGCTCATTAAAAAAAGAAAGAAAGAAAAGGCTTGCTGTGTAGCTTAGGCTGGCCTTGAACTCATAATATAGCCCAGGCTGTAGTATCTTCATTCTGTCAGCTTATGTATTTAACAGACATTGATTGAATCTTGATTGGAATACATAGTCAAATGAGATTGTGGTTCACTATGTTGTACCCTATCCACTTAGTCTAGATGGGAGAGATTTAAGAATGTTAAGGATGAAAGAACCAGTGAAAGTCAACTAGTTGAAGACTCCATTTTGTCTCTTTGATTAGGAAACCTCCTTAGATCAGATGAGTGGGCTAGAGAGAAGACAGATGTACAAGAATATGGAGGAGGTATAACATTTTCATCCTTTCATAGGTTTTGCAATATTTTTATTGGATTTATTGGTCATACCTAATGTATATGACCACATCACATGTAGATCAAAGATTTCATAGACTTCCTTGAAGTATATTTTTGATGTTTGCCAGAGTTGATTGTGATCCAGGGCTCTGGAAGCAATAGCAGTGATTACTTTTGTTAATATACCCTCAATGCCTTCCCCACATGAGAGTGTCTATTCTAACCCAGCTGATTTTGTGTGCTGATTCTTCTCTTTGTACTCCAGTCTCTTTAATGGCCCATAACACATATTTATGAACTAGATGGCCTGATTAAGAGAGGCAGAAATAAAATTTTCTAGAATATTGTAAGGATATGTCCAACTTTAAAGTTTAAAAAAAGGGGATAGGAAGCCTTTTTAGGAGTTGAAAATGTTTGCTCGTGGATTTAGAATATCTAGTGCATTTACAGATAGTTTGTAGAGCAAGTTTATTCATTGTATATTGTGTATCTACTTGCATACTGTGTATACTTTTTATGTTATGTACCATATATGCCTTTTAATAGTTATTTCATATGCTAATTTATTTCTGGAATTTGATAGACTAGCCAGGTAGATCAATCCCATATTTATAATAAATCTAAAAAGACTTTGTACAGTGTCTAAAAATAGGTTGATTATTTAGAAAAGCTAGTTTCTTAGATAAATGCTCAAACCTCAGTAATTATAAGTCTTAGTTCAGTAGCATGTATTTTAGAGGGTTTATTACAAGCTCATTTGCCTCTGTGAGAGATAGATACTTAGCTTTATGTGCCATAAAGGTAGCAGTTATTTAAGTTAAAAAAAATCAGAATCAGAATTCTTTTTATTTATACAGCATTTTATTTTTGGGGGGTATCTTTTTGAGATAGGGTCTCACTCTGCAGTCCATGCTGGCCTTGAATTCACTTTGTAGCCCAGGATGGCCTTGAACTTGAAGCGATCCTCCTGACTTAGCCTCCCGGTGTTGGGTGGGATTACAGGCATGTGCTACCACTGCTGGCTCTATATAGTGTTTGAATTGTGACATTGAATTAAAAAATTGCCTCATCTCAATTGAATGATATCAGGACCCATATTTAAGTAGACGTGTGATTATGTCACAGAATTGTTTATTATACATAAACTAAGTATCAGTGGGTGATATCAGAAATAAGATTTGAATACTTTTGCTTTTCACCTCCTAATTGGTATGCTTGTCTGTGTATAGGTGTCGTTTCAGCCAGATGTTGCATCCAATTTTTGAGGAAGCTTCTGATGTTATTAAGGAAGAATATCCAAATCAAAATCAAGTAGTGTTTGCCAGAGTTGATTGTGATCAGCACTGTAAGTAACTCAATAGGAAGTCTGGAAGAAACAGTCCCACTCCCTCCTCTTCTGCACACATTTTTTTTCTTTTTAAAAATTCCCTGCTTTAAGTGGAGAAGAAACCAAAGCGTTCTAGTAACCTTGGTTAAATTGTTTAGATTTTATATATTTACAACAGTGCTTTCCATTTTGCCTCTCTGAAAGGGTTTTTGCTTTTTTTTATTAACAGCAGTAAATCGTAATTGGCAGTATTTTGTAACAAAGGAAATGTCAAAATCAATAAAATTAAAATATGGTTTTAAAATAAAAATACAAATTTTTGTTATTCTTAGAATCACGCAAAAATATCCCTGTAGTTATTTCAGATATGGGAGTCTCAGGTTTTGTGTTTAAAGATGTTACTGGCTTTGACAATCAAGTACAATTAGTTGTCATTAATTATAATTATTGAGAGTATTAAGAAACTTAGGCAGTCTCTAAAATTTAATTTCTTGGGCCAGCCAGATAGCTCAGCAGATTAAAGGGCCTGCTTAGGCAGAGCACAGTGGCCAGGGTTCGATTCCTGGCATACTGTGCCTGCCCCGCCCCCAGGGCACATTGAGAGGGCATTGAGACTGGATATGGGAGTGTGTACCTGTGATCCCAGTGCTTGGGAGGCTGAAAACAGGAGAATCACTATGAGTCTGATCTATGTAGTGAGACCCTGTAGACCCTGTCCTAAATACATTTAAGAAAATAAAATAAAATTTAATTTCTTTTAGTTGGCTTATCCCAATAGAGCATTTTCTGAAGAATCCCCATGGCTTTTTATATACCTGACAGATTTTTCTAACTTGAGCTATGAGCTAGAAGTAGTATTTCCTGCTGAATGCTCCCATTGCACTTGAAGTTTCCTTGCTCGTTCTACCAGTGAGTGTCTGGTAGTTCTGATTTTGGGTCGTAGTTGTCACATCAGCTGCACTTCAGTTCTTCAAGGCAATAATTTATTCTCTTCCTCCCTCTCTTCCTTTCTTTTTTAAGATCTTTTTTGAGTAGAAACTAAACCACTTACCAGTCTCTGTAGCTAAAGCCTTTGACGTTTCCGGGAGATGCATACTAAATATAGTGCCTGAAAAGCTTTATTGCAGTGAGTTATAGGTAAATTGACTTCAATATAGAGCTGTTTCCCATTTTGCTGCAAGTTTCCTATTCTTATATTTAACCTACTGAGAATGAGAATTAGCATATATGTGTTCCCACACACACACTAACTTTCCATTTTACTGATGAGGAAATGGAAATAGAGTGGTTTGCTCTGTGTTACAGAGCTTGGTGTTAGGGAATTAAACTCCTGATTTCCTGACCAAATGTCTTCACAGACCAATTTGGTTTTTTCCTGCTCAATTGGACAAGCATCTTGAGGATTTACTGGTATAGCTTTGTGCTAGGCTGAAAAACATTTTCTAGCAGCAAATCATTTCAAAGTCTTATAAGCCATACCTCATATTTCTGTCTGCTAAGATCTATAACTAGGTATGATGAAAAGAGCAGTAAAAAGATATCAGTGCAAAAGTGTTGATTGCTTTTCCACAAGGTTTTCTAGATCATTCCTCTCACCTTATAATGGGAGAGTACATGACATGTTTCGTGTGAGCTCTCCTTTCAAAATTTTCTGTTCTTTATATGTTCAATTAGAGTTTACAGTAAAAATAAGAGTCCCTTACCTTAACTAAATTTGAACCATAATATCTGAAATTATACTTTCAAGCTTATAACAATTGAGAAGGAAATTTGATATTTGTATCATTGAACCATGTATATCACTTGGTTATTTTTTTTATTTTAAAGAGAATAAAAATTAAAAAAATTAAAAACGACGCAGAATTTCAAAACAAGATGTAGGAAATTAGCAATGGTTGTTATAGTGCATATTGTTATCTTCAAAATAGTTGATCAGATTGCCAGATACAGGCATGCAAAGTTGATCTTATAAATTAAGAATTAAACAGATTAACTTACTTCTGAAATAAATCCAGTATTGTTATAGGAAGTTTTCGTTTGTTGGAGAAAATAACTATAGTGCAGATGCTTTTCAGTATATCGAAGAGGTGATACATACTTGCAGCCATGAAAACATCACCACAATCAAGGTACCTTTCATCCCCTATGTTCTCCTTGTGCTTTTTTGAGTTTCCTCTGCTTCCTGTTTCAGTAGATTAACTTGCAATTTTCTAGAATTTTAAGTAAGTGGAACCATACACTCTATTTTTCTAAAAATTTATGATTAAGATTGTTTATGTTACATGTGTTGTTTATGTTTATTACATACTAGCATTTTATGGTAGGGATATATAAGTTTTCCCCAATTTTTGACTATTATAAATAAAGCAGCTATGAACATCCAAGTATAGATCTTTGTACATATCCTTTCATGTATCTTGGGACAAACCCCTGGGTCATATGGTAGCTGTATGTTTAACTTTTTAAGAAACTGCCCAGCTATTTTCCAAAGTATTTGTACTATTTTACATATCCTTCAGTGTGTGAAAGTTCTGATTTTTTCAACTGCTTGCCAGCACTTGGAATCGGCAGTCTATTTAATTTTAATACATGTGAAGTGTGGTGTCTCCTTGTGGCTTAATTTGCATTTTGCATATCCCTGATAATTAGTGATGTTGAGAATATTTTCATATTCCTATAGGACATTCATGTGTGTTTGGTGAAGTGTGTATTCTTACCTTACACGTTTTTATTGGATTATTTTCTTGTTGAGTTTGAGACTTATTATGTAATGAATACTACTCACTTTTTTCAAATATATTTGCAAATGTTTTATTCTGTTCTCTTAAGACTTAAAATTTGTGGTAAAAAATCATAAAATTTATATTAACTGGTTTTTAATTGTATAGTTTCAGTAGTGTCATGTATATGTACATTGATTTTTTTTTTTATTGTACCTGGTCTCCAGATCTGTTTTTATTTTATAAAATTAAAATACATTATCTACTTAATAGCAACTTCTTATTTCTCTTTCCCACCTTCTGGAAAACACTACTGTACTTCCTTGTTTATAAATTTGATTACTCTATGTATCCTACCTAAGTGAAGTCATAGTCACTGTGACTAGCCTATTTCTCTTAGTATAAGTTTCCTCAAGGTTCATCCATTTTTGTAACATATGTTACATATATCAGCTTTTTAAAGCTGAATAATATCCCATTGTATAACACAGTGGTCCTCACTTATCTCTGGGGAACATATTCTAAGATCCACAGTAGGTACTTGAAATTGCAAGTCATACAGGGTAGTACTCCATTGTGTATAAATGCCACATTTTCTTTATCCATTTATCTGTTGATGGGCATATTGGCCAATTCCAGGATTTAGCTATTATGAGTTGTACTGCTATAAACATAGGTATGAATGTATCACTGTTATGCTTTTTTAACTATAAATATATACTTATGATAAAGCTTAGGACGTAGATTAATAAAAATAAATTATTTTAATAAAATAAACAAGTTATAATAATATACTGAAATAAAAGTGTGAATGTGGTCCCTCTCATGATATCTTATTGTACCTAATATCACCTTTTCACTTGAAGGAAGCATTTTTTTATGACTTCGGCATATCCACATTGCCAGAGTTGCTACTTAGCATGGAGGCATTACTGTGTAAAATAAAGGTTGCTTGGACACAAGCATGTCAATACTAGATAGTGGATCTAATAAAGACATCTGCTAAGTGTCTAAAAGATAGGTAGCATCAGTGTAGATATGCCGGACAAGAGGATGATCTACCTCCTGTACAGAATGAAGTAGGATATCTTGAGATTTATTATGCCATTCATATTCGTATACAATTTAAAGCTTATGACTTGTATTTATGCAATTTTTCATTTAATGTATTTTTAACTCGATCAGAAAACTCCAAATAACAGGGCAAAGATTACTGTATATCACATTTTATTTTTCTTATCATTGATGGAAACTTAGGACACTTTCATCTTTTGGCTGTTGTAAATGATGGTTCTGTGAACATAGTTGTAAAAGTGTCTGAGATCTTGCCCAGTTATTGTTTTGTTTTGTTTTTATTTTTTTGGCAGAACTGGGGATTGAACTCAGGCCCTTGTGCTTGCCAGGCAAGTACTTATTCTGAGTCATCTCCCTGGTCCCTTGCCCAGTTATTTTGGATACAAACCCAAACAGTGGGATTGCAGAATCATATGATAATTGTTTTAATATTTTAGTGGCTACATCATGTTACATTTCTCTTACCAGTGCACAAGATTCTAATTTCTGCACATCTTTGCTAACACTTTCTGTTTCATTCATAGTAGCCCTCTTAATGAGTTGTGAGATGATTGTGGGTTTGGCTATATTTCCCTAGCGATTAGTGATGTGGAGTATCTTTTCATATGTTTGTTATTCATTTGCATACCTTGTTGGAGAAATGTTTATTCAAATCCTTTGATCATTTTTAAGTCAGTTGTTTTGTTTTTGTGTTGGCATGTATTCTGGATGTTATCCCTTTAGTATATACATGATTTGAAAATACTTTCTCCCATATTTTGGTTACCTTTTTGCTTTTTGACTATATGTTTTGATGCATAAAATGTTATAAACACTACTTTTATGCCTGTTACCATTTCATAGGTGTCCCATGCAAGAAATCATTGTAAATCCAATATTATACAGCTTTTCTTTTATATTTTCATTTAAGAGTTTTCTAGTTTTAGACCTTATATTAATGTCTTTGTACCATTTTTAACTAATTGTTGTACCATTTTTAGTTAATTGTTGTATATGTAGTAGTAGAACAGTAGCCAAACTTTGTTCTTTTACGGGTTAGCATCCAGGGTTTCCAGAATTATTTGTTGAAGGGATTGTCCTTTTTTCCATTGAATGGCCTTAGCGTCCTTGCCAAAAATCATTTAGACATATATACATATATAAAGATTTGTTTCCTGGCTCTATTCTACTCTATAAAGTTTGTATTGCTTTAGCTCAGTACCACACTGTTTTTGATTACTATAG